AGAATAAGGATAAACATCTACTTTTATCTTTATTCATAACATTAATTAAATAATTTTGAACAAAATAAATTCTTTATATTAAATCTTTTGCTTACCGAAAACAACAAATGAATTCATTGCTAATATGTTCAGTCCAGCCCTGCTGATAACTCATAATGAAATGTTTCAAGAAGAAAAAGGACATAATGCATTAGTTAATGCATAAACATTTGCTTGCATTCTTGATTTAAACCGGATCATATGAATAAGAGAAATCATAGTAGATTAATCATATTAAGGATCACATATTACATTAGTAAAAGCATGACACATTTTTCTCATAAAAAGACAATAGAAGAGGCCAAAGCATTTTCTCATCAATGGAAGGGAAAGGAAAAAGGAGAAAATATAAAAATATTAATAAAGACAGAAAGATTCATTTGGACCATCAATGCACAACTAAACAAATTTCCTTAATGAATAAAAAACAAAAATCAAATAGAATACTATAAAGTAATTTATAATGGATGAGACATTTATTGTGAAGACTTTTTTTTTTTTTTGAGGATGTTGAATAATTGAACTGTGAAAGATGAAAGAGTTCACGGGCTAGCTTAGTGTTTTTTTTCTTCAATCACTTTTATTTATCAAACTAGATTTTGTTTGTTTTCAAATTTGGTAATACTACACTATATGTGATAATAAGTTGTTGGCAAATGGAAATTGAGAACTTTGGGGTCTATAATATTGACCACAGAAATAGTTCACGGGTTCTTTAACTTTTTCTGTGGATTTTCATTCTTATCACCATTATTTATCTTACTAATTTTATTTTATTCTCATGTTCCAACAATTAACCTGTTGGCTAATTATATTTACTATGTTTTGTTCGGAATAATTTAGTGAATCGTGTCTCGGTGATGAAATATAATAGACATTTGTATTTCCATGTATCATTGTGAAAATGATTTTATCAAGAAGTCCATAATAAACGGGAGAAACATGTGTATGGCAGAAGATATAATTGCATGTAGTTGATCCTTGAGCTTGAAGACAAAGATGAAACTTGATGAGCTTGTCAAATTTCATAGTTTAACAGGATTTTGATTCCACTCTGGAACATTATGTAATCTCAGCCACAAACTTGAGAAACCAAGGGACCACCTCCACTTTTCAAGTTCCCAAATCCTACTCACTCTAAGAAGAATTGGACTACATGATTAGCCTTTCATGGTTTTCTAATCTCTAGATTCTCTACATTGTAATCATTTTTCATGTAGTAAACCAAAATGTTTGTAGTAAAATATAACAAAAAAATTGTACTTGGACATGCCGACATGGGATGAAAATTGATTATAAAAATATTCAGAGACAGTAAGACATAGGTGAAATAGTGCTATGAGTGAATCCTAACTTCACATCAGTATCTACTGTTACTGTTCTCTCATGAGACCAAAACCATTTACAGTGCTGATTTAGGATCCTCAAACTGTTCTGATTAATGTAAAGTAGTCTATTAAACAACAAAAATTAACAAGACAGAACAATCACTTGAACAAAAAAATTATCACTCATAGTATTGACTAACATTAGTAACTTATCTCAATTATTTATTTATACATTTTTGTTAGTATGTAATAGTTATTATTGATATTAAATATACACAAGCATTCTTGTGTTGTGTTTAAATATATAAATTTGGTAGAGAAACAGCTAGAAATGCACGTGAACCTTTATATACAAACTTCGAGGACCTCATTGTCATTGCAAACCACCCATTGTTTCACTGTCAGTAGCTAAGGCCAAAACTTTTGATTTAAAAAACAGCACACAATAGAGAGGAAGAGAACCAAATAATGGGTTTGGTAACTAAAAGAGAGTAGAATAATCAGAGGGAAAGAAAAAGAAGAAAAAAGTTAAAACAAAAAACAACCTATGAAACAAATGAAGATGCAAGGTTGTGAGGTTGAAGCCATTGGCATAAACTACAGGATCCACACAAACAAAACAGAACACCCTTTTAAAATCTTCAGCAAATCACCACAACTAGATAATGCTAATGGTCAAGAAACAGAGGATGAGGAAGAAGGAAGAGGTGAAAAAAGTTGCAGTGGAGTGAGGCGTGTACTCAAGAATGTGAGTTTTCAAGCAAAACCATGGGAAATTCTAGCAATTGTTGGACCAAGTGGAGCTGGAAAATCATCACTACTTGAGATCTTAGCAGGTAAACACACTCCACAAAAGGGGTCAGTGTTGTTGAACCAAAAACCAGTTGACAAATCTCAGTTCAGAAAGCTATCAGGTTATGTTACTCAAAAGGATACTTTGTTTCCTTTACTTACAGTTGAAGAAACCATGATGTTCAGTGCAAGGCTAAGGCTAAAACTTCCTCAACAACAACTATGTTCAAGGGTCAAGTCACTGATTCATGAGCTTGGACTTGATCATGTTGCCGGGACCAGAATCGGTGACGATCGCGTCCGAGGTATATCAGGCGGGGAAAGGCGCAGAGTTTCTATTGGTGTAGAAATCGTACATGATCCAAAAGTTTTGATTCTTGATGAACCAACTTCTGGGCTTGACAGTACTTCAGCTTTGCAAATTATTGATATGCTCAAGGTTATGGCTGAAACTAGGGGAAGAACTATAATACTAAGTATTCATCAACCTGGTTTCAGAATTGTGAAGCTGTTCAATTCATTGTTGTTGTTGGCTAATGGTTCTGTGTTACATCATGGAAGTGCTGATTTACTGAGTTTGAATTTGAGATTAATGGGTCTAGAGCTCCCTCTTCATGTTAATGTAGTTGAATTTGCTATTGATTCCATTGATACCATTCAGCGACAACAACAATGTCAGGTTGAAACCGAAATGCCGAGGCTATTGCAAGGGACAATGCAACAGAAGAAAGTTGCTGATAATGAACAACAACCAGGTGAGAGTAAAATTGGTAAGTTCACTTTGCAGCAACTATTTCAACAATCTAAAGTAATTGATGAAGATATCGTCAATAATAAAGGAACTGGAATGGATTTCTCTTATGATTTTGCTAATTCTAGATTGAGGGAAACTATGATTCTAACTCATAGATTCTCCAAAAACATATTCCGTACAAGAGAGTTATTTGCATGTAGGACGATTCAGATGCTCATTTCAGGACTAGTTTTAGGATCAATCTTTTGTAACCTCAAAGATGATCTAAAAGGAACAGAAGAAAAGGTTGGTCTATTTGCTTTCATATTAACCTTTCTGTTATCAAGCAGCATCGAAGCTCTACCAATTTTTCTACAAGAAAGGGAAATTCTCATGAAAGAAACATCTTGCGGAAGCTACCGTGTGTCATCTTATGCTATTGCAAATGGACTAGTTTACTTGCCATTTCTTCTAATCCTAGCCATTTTGTTCACAGTTCCTTTATACTGGCTTGTTGGTCTCAACACAAACTTCACTGCTTTTCTGCACTTTCTGTTACTGATATGGCTTATTCTTTACACAGCTAATTCAGTTGTGGTGTGTTTCAGTGCTCTTGTGCCTAATTTCATTGTTGGGAATTCAGTGATTAATGGTGTTATAGGTTCTTTCTTCTTGTTCTCTGGTTACTTCATATCAAACCATGAGATTCCTAATTACTGGATTTTCATGCATTATATATCACTTTTTAAGTATCCCTTTGAAGGGTTTCTGGTCAACGAGTTCTCAAACTCAAAAAAGTGTTTGGAGTACATGTTTGGTACATGTGTGATGAAGGGAGAGGATGTGCTTAAAGAAGAAGGGTATGGAGGAGAAGGTAGCAGATGGAAGAATGTTGGTGTCACTGTTGGCTTCATCATGGTTTACAGATTCATTTCTTATGTTATTCTGAGATACAAATGCTCAGAGAGGAGGGTCTAGAGCCTATGGTGAGTTTGTGAATTGTTGTGTTACCCCATCTCTCTCTCTCATTCACTTTCTCTCTTTATGGAGTTCACATGTCTTGGATTTTACTTATGATAGCAACTAAAGAAGATAATATCAACCAAAATAACGTGTAAAGAATTGTAGATTCTGCCAGTGTCAACAAAATGTACTAACATGATATTATAATTATGTTGGATTTTTGTTTTTATATGATTTCTTTAATTCAGAATATTGTTTTTCTCTTCTAAATCAAGATTCCTTCATTTCATCCCTCCTAATTTCCTTTTTCATTTCAGGCTTGTTGGCAATTCACCAGATTTGTTCTCAAAAAAGTACAATGAAAATGTGATTTTGCCATTATACTGAAAATGCGACTACCTGTAACATGGTATAAAAAAGTAATTTATTTTTTAGAGATTTTATTTAAAATAGGAATTGTTTTTTTGTTGTGGTTTATAATTAGAATAAGTATTTTATTCTAAGAGATAGTTATAATACTACATTTTTAGAAGCTAGTTAGATAACTTCTCAAGATAATCAGAAATATTTTTTTTTAATTCTGATTTTTTAAAAGTTAAGGTGTAGGACTGCTTATTACAGGTTTCTGCCTTCTCCCATATTTTAAGAAACGAGAATTATCATATACACAAACTGAACAAAGCATTAATTTGTAATTGAAAATATTTGTCTCAATAACTTCAGCTTAAACGAGCTCATCATTATAATGTAAGAAGATTAGTTTAGATTTACCAAAGGAGCTTGAGTCGGGCAGAAGCAAGCAATCTTTCCAAACGCAACGAACTATGATTCGAATCTTCGTTTGAAGAGGTGCATATATTTAGTATCCAACGACTCCATAAAGAAAATTGTCTTCAATAGTTGGAAACATGTAGGATTACCCAAAACAGAAAAAACAAGCAGGGAGAGGCACAAACATCAAATGAGCAATTTTCATTTGCATTGTTGACAAGTGAATGAAAAACTGAAATTTTATGTGACAGGACTAACGAGTAATATATGATTTCCATGCTATACAATAAATAGTACAAATAGATTGACAAGGAAATAAACATAGTCTTGACAAACTTTTAACTTCCTATAGAACAGCTGGTTTGAATTAACGACTAAGACTCAGGATCACTATCGCGCAAGACTGCCCCTCTTACTTTGGCCCTGCCAAGAAAAAAATGTGAGTGAGTATACTATCATAATAGCCGCAATGTATTACCAGAATAATGATTTGCAAGATAGTAAGAACACTTGCCTACGATATGCTGGCATTGCACGATTCTTAACTTTTGCAGCACCCGTATCCGGAGCTGTTTGCTTACCTGCAAGTCAACAGGAATATGAAAAAATATAAATTCATTAACCCTTGAAAATATAAAGTGGTGAAGCAAAATGATTAAAATATATAAGAGAATCCTGCTTAACGAACAACACTAAAATATAAGCAGAAGCTCCAATAAAACATAAGCAGAAGCTCAGATATTATTTTCATGTTACAATGTATTCAAATGGTGCTAGAAGTAGCATTTCTTCTTTTTTCTTTAACCTTAGGTTAGTGTTTTCTTCACACATGATAAATAGACTACGGGTGTGCAAAAATTTGGTTAACTGAACCATATATCCAAACTGAATTACTAAAAATAACCACATATTATAAACAATTGAGTTAACCAAAGTTAAATTAAAAACCAGTTTAAACCATTTAACTAATTGTTTTAAAAACATCATTTAAAATTTAAAAAAATTATTTTAAAAAATATATTTTTTTTCCAAAAATAAAATAATATTTTTTTTAAATAAAAAATATCCTGAAAAAAAAAAATCAGAAAATAAAAAAATTTATTTAAACTTTTATTTTTTTTTATTTCTAAAATAAATAAAAAATGGTTTGAGTTCAAAATGTAAAAATGATTTATAAATGCAAATTGATTATAAATCGGTTTATAAATACAATCTGGTTCTAAATTTATTTTAAACTGAACTGAAACCATTTTAACAGTTACCTGTATTTATATTGAATTGGTTATTGAAAATTGAACTGAATCATTAATGTGGTTTGGTTCAGTGCAGTTTATGAACCACAAACACCCCTAAAATAGACCTAATGCAGTCATCATTTTCTAAAACAGAGAAATAGATGCAAATCTAGAAAATGGTGGACAAATTCGACAGTTTTAAATAATTTAATTATGGTGTGATTGGTTGCAACAAGAAAGTGATAAGAGAGAACTAAGAGAGAGTGTGATAAGAGAGAGATGTGAGAAATACAGAAAATTTGAGGCATTGTTTGGCATAGGAGAAAAAGAAAAGAAATAGTGAAACGAGAAATGTTGATTATTTTTTAGAGTACAAGAATGCCCCCTTAACATAGCACTAAATTAAAAGCAAACAAGGGGCATAAATGAAAATTTACTAACCAAATAAGAGATGGTAAAATATGGTGTCTCTTCACACACTCTTCGTTTTGAGAATAAAATTCACAATATAGATTCACCACATATACCACAGAAAGTCAGTAAAATCTTAAACCCTCCTAACTTTTTAATTACTTCATTAATAAAAGACCGTATCTTCTGAATGACAGAATGCTTAACACACCTGGAGAGTTTTGAGCTCCATTATTAGAAACACCTGCTTTCTCTGAGTCACTAATTTTTTTAAACTTTTGCCGTCCATCCAATTGTATGGTTTCATTTCTTTCCTGGTATGGAGAAAAAGAGTGCTCATAATAAGATAACAGTGGGAGTAACTCAAAAGAAGTAAAATAGCCTATGTTTTCCACAAACTTAAAAATTATTCAGGCACAATTGGACTTTGAGCAAATAAAAACCCATGATTAGCCTGGGGAAAAAAGAGAGGAATAATTGCATTCTGCGTGATTTGTAAAGCTTTCAGAATAGGTCAACAAATCACCCACTAAAAGTATGAGGACTCTATTACTTTCGGCCATTATTAATTTTGTTACTGCTGTAGAGTAGGTAGGATTGGCAGATAAATTCCCAGGAATCCTTACCAAAAAATTATGATTTGAGAAATCAACTAAATAAGTTATAAATAAATACCCCAAGCATAATAGTTCTACTCAATTTGGATATTGTACCTTCTTGGTTGCCATCATGTTTGTCAACTGGACAGAGCGTTCTTGCACTGGCGGCACAAAAAGATGCAACAGTTAAAACTGGCACAGAGCCACATAGATCCAATTGAAGTTATATATTAGTTGCACACATCTTTGGGATGCTCATCTAAAGATAGAGCCTAGTAATTCAACTTAATAAAATTTCATTTTTGAACATAGTTAGAAAGAACCAAACAGAAATCAAGACATTTTGTAAGATTCAAAAGATTGACATAATATAGGAGGAGGATCTAACCATCTACAAGAGAACATTTTATACTTTTGAATGCCTTAAAGAGGCCCAAGGATAAATTTGATACAGCTTCACTAGCATTGGAGTCCACAAGTTTGATGAGAGGAATGGTGATAAGAGGCATTCCTTTTGATTTTTGAGCAATTAATTTAGCAGAACTAACGCCTGAAATAAGTAACACAAAATAAATGGGAGTGAAGTGACCAATCAGTACGCTTCCCTAAAATGATTCCTCAAAACACACAGCATGGCATGCATCTGAGAATTTATAAAATGCAACATATCAAAGAGGCCCGTCCACATATGATATTTGTACCAAGATTATATAATGAGGACATTATCTATGAAGCACGGACACCTCTAGGAGTAAGCGTGTCACGGTGACCGACACTTGTATGACACTTGTACGACACGTGTCAGAAAAGTGTCGGAAAAGTAACCCTCAAATAAATGATTTTTTTCTTTGCTTTGACACTCTTTAAATAGGTGTCCGACACTTGTATGATACTTATAAACACATGTCAAACAATTTAGACAAGTGTTGAAAAAAGAATTTGTTTTTTTTCCAACACACCTTGTAGTTTCTTTAAAACAAATCTCACACACGTCTAAAAGAGTTAAACATGTATTGAAGCAATGTTATCAATGAAAAATTATAGACAACAATTTTGATTATGATATTTTTTTCTCTTTTAATAATAGATGGTTAAATGAAGTTCAAATACTATCATATATGCAGCGGTGTCAGTGTCCTATGTTTTTGACATTATCAATGTAGGAGTGTCTGTGCCGTGTCCCGGTGTCCCTGTCGGAGTCCGTGTTTCATAAGATATTATAGTATCTCTAACCCAACACTGTAGACTCAATAACCAATTACCAAGAGTGAGTCTGTTTGGATTGAATTATTTATGCTTATCTACTAATATAAACACTTTTGAGAATGTTTGAGAGAGAGAACTTGTAGTAACAACTTGTAACATGTCCATAAGCTCTCTAAGACAGCTTATGAAAACAACTTGACTTTATTTTATCTTTTGTTATAGAAATAGCTTGTACATAAACACTTATATGATAACTGTTTTTGCTATAAGCTGTTCATTGAAACTGATCTCAAATTAATGTCATCAAAACCATCTCCACAAGAGACACAAAGATGCAACTGTCATACATAGGCAAGTCAACGAGTACAATCAACTACATGCATTCCACAAGAGATTATACAGCAAATTTTGATTAATTCAAATTTCAACTCATTGTACTCATAAATTCATAATTCCTATTCAAACTTCACATAAGAAAGTCAATTCAGTCACGTTTACAAAGCATGTCACTTTTACTTTAAATTTTTCATCAGATTGAAGCAAGTAGAAGTGATAAGAGTACTGCTGACCATCAGAACTTGAATCTGCCTCAAGAACCAGCTTCAGATCTTCTGACTTGAGGGAAGTTACAAAATAATCAATAAACTCTGACCAAGAGCCTCCTATTCCAATAATATCCCTCTGCACAAAAGGTCAAAAGATGACTATTACTATGAATAAAAATCAAGATCTTTCACAAATTTGAAGCTAATTTACCTAATAGCACAGCTTTACAAGGATTAAAAAAAAATCATAATTTGAAATCCAGAATCTTAAATTCATGACATGAATGTTTCACTTTTTGCAACAAAATGCCTCAAATCGAAAGTTCACAACAAATCGCAACTTTTTAATTTAACTTTTAACCCTTAATCAAATAATTTCACAAGGGGCAACATTTTGGCAATTGCAACAACTTTTCATTCTTATCCATCCTTCTTGTTTGAATCAACGCGAGGACTAATGTATGGATTTACTTTCGAGAGAGCCAAAAGTGATTCTGAAAAAACTTGAAATTGATTTTGGTATATTTGGGAGTTTTCAATTAGAGCTGATTTTGCCATTAGAATGAATTCTAACTTGAATTAAATTTTGCAGCTTTTGCCTCCAAAAGTCATTTCAAGACTCAAATTATGATTCAACTCACGTTCAATTAATTTAACCCTAAAATAAATTTTACAAAATGCATTGAATCAAAATCAATTTTTGACACAGTATAACCAAAGAGAATGAGGAGAAGGTGATTGAGTATACTCACAATGTCCTCAAGCAATGAAACTGAAAGATGAGCTTCCCAAGTATCAGAGTGGAAATCAGTGACATGAATTACTAAGTGAGAAGAATCAGGAGCGTAAGCATGGAACAAAAAAGGACGCAAAGGTGAACAAGTGTGAGTTTTCCACTCCAGTTTGGGTTCCGCAAAGATTGGTTCAAAGTGTTGAAACGCCATTGTCAGATAAATTGATGCAGTGAGGTTCTTTCACTGTAAGAAAAACAAGAAAATTGAGTAACCTTTATTGAAAACCCTCGTGTTAAAGTTGGTAACGTATGAATCGAAAAAATAAAAATCTAGGGTTTTGACGCTCGTAATAGTAATTTATAAATGGCTTACTGATGTTAAAAGTTTAGCGTTAAGGTGAGAAAACAGTGGGGAGAAGGTAATGATGTACAGTACTGGGAGGGAAGAAGCCGGAAGACGAGAACCTTTGTCAAAATATTATTTTAGAGAAATCAATACATTTAAATATTTTTTGCATCACATTTCACATTTAAATATTTCTTGAGACTATGTTTAGATAATTTAAAAATAATGGAGCAGAACGGAACTGAATACGATAGAGTGGAATGGAACGGAATATAAATTTTATTTAATTGTTTGGATATTTTACAACGGTGTGAAACTAATATCTCATTCCACTGTTTGAGAATCGGACGAAGCGGAAAACATTATAACTTTTTTATTCCATTTTTGCCCTTTGCTATAATATTGATAGATCCAACATTCTCAAGCTAAAATAATATATAAGTAATCATAGAAAAATATCAACTTAACACTTGAAAGAAATCATAGAAAATTTAACACTTAAAAGAAATTAAAACATACAGTAATAAATTAAAATATTCATAAATGAAACATGGTTATTATAACTTGAAATTGCAAAGACCCAAGTGCACAAGTTTTGATCAACGCCATAATGGGTATTCATAGTAATTCATAAACAAAATCAAGTTTTGCTAAAATTAAATGATAAATATATGTCTATAGTAGATAATGATATCAAGTCTTGCTAATAAAAAAGACAAATATTGATCCATAATAGATAATGGCTCTCTTCTTTAAACATTCCACAAAACCTGCAAAAATAAAATAAAATAAATTACGCAAATATTTCATTCGTTAAAGATAAAAAAATACTCAAAAGTGATAAATAAATATGTTATCATCATCAAAAGGGATAGTCTGGAACAATGAGATGTAACATTTCCTTTCGCTTATCAATTGGAATTCCATTAAAAGCTTTTAATGCATCGGCATTCTTAACGAGGTACATGTATACAAGAGGCAAAGAACTTGGTTCAACCCTAATCTCGACCAATTCAGCCTAAATATCTCCACCATTAGCATTTTGACTTTGTTTGACCAGCTCCATGGAATTCATTTCAAACACATCAACCATTTTTTTGAAAGTTTTGGAAATCTCAATCATGCTTGTATCATCTTCAATAACCTTCTTTACTCGCTTCTTAGTCCTAGATGATGATACATCTTGAGAATTGGTAATAGAAGGCCTTGTAGGAGAATTGTTGGAATGATGTTCATCATCAAATCCCTCCAAAATAACTTTATTGGTTTCAACTAAGTGGTTTATTTCTTCGATGGTTGTGCCATGACTTTTTTCAACATTTGCAGCCTTTTATGCTCTCATTTCAGTAGATGTACCTTCATACTCTCCTGTTGCTCGATCTTTTCCAAAAAGTTTGGTCAATTTATCATAAAATAATATTGACTTGTTTTTCCATTCAGCAGCTTCGGGTTTTGCCTACACCAAAATAAACGAAACAATGCATCACTTAAAAAGTTTTTAATGAGTGAACTCAAATAAAAATAATCGGGTAAGTGTATAAAACAATTATAGTAAATAATACTTCAATTAGCTTGTTCCAAACTTCATCTTCGGCAATCCACATATTTGTTGTTGAATCCCATCCAAACTCACTCAAGTCATTCTGGAAAAGGTCATAACAAGAATCGAACTTTGTTTTGATGTGTTTCATATGATCTTTTATTTTTTCTTTGGAAATTGGTTTGTCCGGAAAGTGAGTCTTTAATTCTTTAAGAATGCTATCCATAGCGCTTGTTGTCATACTATTACCATTTTTATTTCCCAATGTTTGTTGATGCAAATATGCATCAAGCAAAACTTCATCCATAGCAGTTGTTCAATTGCATATTTCTAGACTTTTGAGTTTCCTCGGCCTCTTTAAACTTGCTTTCATGTCTATTATTAAAAAACACAATGAAGAATATAATAACTTATGCACAAATTCAAATGTAAAGGTTCATCATACACTAAAATTCATTCCACAAATTACAAATAAAAAATTCAATCCAAATAAAATTCTTCAAAACATTATTCATAAGAGTAACAAATCATTAAGAATAATTTTAATAATCTAGCCACATAGAACCAGCAACATTATCTGTAATTGGCTCTCTGCTAATCATATAATCGTTTTCTTCTCTATGATCTTGATGACCCTCTTGAACATCTCTTTCGTTTGCAAGCTCATCTTGCACCTCATCAATTAGAGTTTGATTGGGGTCTTCACCTATCAAATGGTATATGTAAAATGTAACAAGCAAGGATGATTTTATTTTGAGTTTTAATACCAAATGTAGGCTCTGTTGCAGTTTGTAAAATTGGAAATCTTTTCTTCAACACTCCAAATGCACATTCAATAGACATTCGTAATAACGAATGTCGATGGTTGAATAAATCACGAGGGTTTCGAGGTGGATTTCTAGAGTATTCTTGTAAGTGGTATCATTCTCCCCTATACGGTGTAATGAGACATGCTTTTAAAGGAAATCCTGCATCACCCAGATAATATTTTCCTAAAAAAATAATGAGTTCATTAGTTTAACTAATCTAAATACTTATACAAATATTTTTTATTACTTTTTATTACCTTGTGGAACTTTAAGAGGGTGTACACGTGTCAACGCACTCTTAACTATTCTTGAGTCAAAAGCAGTTCCTCCCCATCCAACCAAGACATATGTAAATTTCAAGTCAAATGAGCACTCAGCTAACACATTTTGTGTGGGATAATTTTTTCTACCACGGTATCTAGGTGAAAGTTTTATTGGAACTTTAACACGCACATGCGTGTAATCAATTACTCCAATACAGTCCTGGCGTTAAATTTATATATTAAAAGTGTACAAGAAAACTAATCAATATTTGTATAAGACAAAAAATTTGTTTACCTTAAAATACGGGTAGAATCTATGAATGTTAAGTATCTACGGAGGCACTTGTGTTCCATCAGGTTGTTTTAAAAAATTTCTCTCCACCTCTATCAAAGCATCTAGCACTCTATGAAAAGGACGACTAACAGTTTCACCGAAGCATCTAAAAAAGAAGGACATCACACGGTTTTTAACATTATGTCCTACTATATGAAGAAATTTTGCTACTTGTTCTTCGATAGACGCTCTCTGTGTATGTGTAAGTCCACCTTGATCTTGTAATAAGGTGCACAAGTTTAAGAAAGATTTGGGACCCATATGAATGATATCATAACATCGCTCACTTCCTACAATATGTTTCATCAACTCATTTTTAACTTTCTCTCTTTGCTCTGTGATTCTATAAGGTATTTGGGATCTTCTACACTTGTTTTTTAGCGAACATATTAGAATAATAATGATAGATACTTGAAGAATCATCATTTGAACCAATTTCATATATTTGATTCTTATGTCTTCGTTAGTCATCTATAACAAATTAAACAGTAAAATTTACTCTAATTATAAATCCATATACAAATAAATCAAATTAAAATATTTATAACAAATAAAATAAATCATATCAAAATCAGAACAAATAGATTAAGAATTTTTAAAACAAATCAAATATATAATTTCAATCCCAAATTAATTAAGAATCTTTATAGCAAATCAAAACTTATGTTACTAATAATTATTTTCCTATTATACTACATAATATTATTAGCCAATTTTATATTACAGTAACTAATTTTAGTTTTTCTTTATACATAATAAGAATACAATCAACGTGAATAGTAGTGAAAAGTAACCGGAACAGTAGTTTTGCAACAGATCTAATTTCTACTTTTGTTCTTAATAAAAAGTTAATTTAACATACAAAACACTATAAAGCAACATAAATCATAATTTTAGGTTTTATTTTTAGTAACTATACCTAATTTCTGAAAAATGAAAAAGACATGAACATGAAGATAAATCAAGATATTTAATTTAATAGAACACACATATAAATATCGGTAAAAAAAAGAGAATAAATATGATGTACCTTGTTAGGGTAGAAGAAAGATAGACTCTTTGCAAGTAAGAAGAAGACCTGTGAAGGAGAAAAGTTACAGTGAATGAATAGAAAAATATCACGTTTATTGAAATAAGGAATAGAAACGGTTAATAATAAAAGTGAAAATTTTGAGGATAAAATTGTAATTGTTTTATTAATTGATTCCATTCTATTGGATACACTCCAATTTGGGGGAATGAAAAATGGGCCAAAATAGTGGTATTGGATGGAATGTGTTCCATCATACTCCATTCCATTTCATTCAATTTTTGTAAATCCAAACAATGGAACATAACTCCATTCCATTCCATCCCTTTCCATCAATCCAAACAGATGAGTGACGTTGAACGATATAAGTGTGAATGATAGTAATTGAAATTTTCAATTATAAAAAATGATATCTTTAGATAAACGTTGTAACGTTCAAGTTAATGTTTGAAGGAGATTGAATATCAAAATGTGAATGAGAAGAATATTTGGGTGTAGAAGACGATTAAAATCATTCCCAATCAATCTAACATTGATGTAAAGAACAGTTGGATGCATATCAACGGTAAAGATGACCACAGAAGGCATGTTCATATTTGATGCTCCATAGTAGGTGTCCATCTAGATGCTAGCTACTGGAGAACTTTGGATGAATTAGACCAGTTTTATGAGGACTCTAGCCAACCTAAAATAGTTATCCCTAAGTCATCACTTCTAGTAATGAAGTGAGAAATGTTGAAGTTGAAATTTTGAGACTGATCCAAACACAAGTCCACTCACACGCCGAATCTAATGTGCCTAGACCCACTTGAGTGCTATTGTAGAACCATTGCTCCATCTTAACTGTTGGACATGATTTTTGATCTTATGTTGAATCGTGGTCATTGAT